TCGTATACACGTTACACATGGGAAAATCCATGAAAACGCCCGTGCAGCGAGCCCGTTCTCTTGGAATCGAACCCAGGTCGAAACTACCAGTCTTCAGTGATTTTACTGCTCGGCCGTTGGTGAAACCTATTAACAGAATCATTAAAAGACAAAATCTTTTTAAATTAATGTCTTTGGATTACTTAGAATATCACAAATGCTTCAGAATGTAGAACAAGAATTTTATCCATGGTAATATATCAGCCGAAAATTCACATTACTTCATGATCTCAAATGTAAGATATACTTTCAAATAAGAATAACTGCTGTTTTATATACGGGAAATATTTCTAATATTCTAAAGTTTGCTTTGCTTTCCTTTACGTTGTAGGCATTTATATTTATTTTAACTAATAATTTAAAGTTTTATTTTAAACTTTCCTATAAGCCCTCATTCTCCTAATTGTCAGTGCCAGAATAGGTAAATGTTGTAGCTCGCGCGAACGAATGCAAATTTTCTACTTTGAAGAAAGTAGTTAAAAGCCGAGTTTCGGTAGGAGAAATGGGGAGTTAGGCTCTAGCCGCCGTCTCTGCCGTAGGTACGTTTGCTTATTGCTGGTTCAAGTGGCTTAATTGCATTTATCTGCTGCCACTAGCTTCGAAGGGAGTTTAAGTTACGGAATCTTGCTGAGCCCTGTAGGCTAATTCTATCACTTGTTAATATTTCAACTTTTAGTTTCAATGATCTGACTTTCAGTTACCGCCCAAGCAGAGGCAAAGTTTGTTAGCGTCGAGTTGACGCATTGTAAATTTTCAAAGATTTAATAAAGGTTACTTTAACCTTTCTCTTGTGTAGTTTCCTGCTACTCCAGTTTTCAGATAGAAGTTCACCCACCTGTACTCTACAACGTATTAGGTATGAATGAAGAAAATATGCTGTTAGCGCATACCCATGGATAATTATCGACATATACTTTGTAAGTAATCATATGATAATTAACTGGTTATTTATAATTTCACTCTTTACTATAACTTCTACTTTCAATATTTCTTACTATAATGGAAATTAGTAGTAAGTATTTAAACTGAGGTTTTTGAACTTGAGATAGAGAGTGTTTTTGACATTGCATGTTTTTCCTACCAACTCTAATAGTGGTAATTATTTGACTTTGAAGTCTCTTGTTGCCGGCACTTTAATCTGACGCTTCGGTAGAGTTAGTGAGGCAGCTTTTTGTGTAGTATTTAATAGTGTAGTCTTTGACTACTGTTCAGCGTTTGATTTAAATAGGACTGTTGAATTTATTTTGCATTATTATGAATTGTGGTCATTATAGTAGAAAATCCAGTGCTTACGGTCGAAATTCTGTTTTAATAGAAAGGTTACTTTAACCTTCTCAAAAGTTTGTCGTTGTTCTTAGACACTCGTTTAATAATTCACTTCACATCTGTTAGAGTTACAGGACTAAAATAGCATTACTAGATGAAGTTACTAAAATAGCAATTACTAGATAAAGTGAAACCCTACAACTTTGTCTCTTTTTCGATGGTCAAATTACTTCGGTTGATAGCATTATAACATGAAACGAAAATCCTTGAATTTTAAAGCAAAATAATTACATCATTCAACCTAATAAATAATGAAATTAAAACAATGTAAAAAGTATCCAAAACAATATCCAATTATGTGCTGGAAGCTGCAATAACGAATGGTAATATTTATAAGATACAGCGAAAAATAAATTCAAAATACATTCACCTTGGAATAAAGAGTTGGCAAAAATTAAATAAATTATTTTGCGAAAGCAAAGTACTATTGGAAAAAATTTAGTGAACTAGTCCAAACAAACCTACAATAAGACGTTAAATTTTAAAAAGGGTGATATACATCCTCAAAGCACGCGTTAATTTCTTAATTGCCTAAGCCTCCAGCTAATTTTGTAACACTTTTTTTCTTCCATGTTAACACATCAAGCAAGTCTTAGCTCGATTCTCGAGAAAGGCAGAATTGATTTTTCAAGATTCCTACTTATACACAAATAAAAATATATAAATAGTGAGTAAAAAGCAATAAATGAAAAAGTAAGGGTCAACAGTGGCTGCAGAATATATGAGGAAGGTAATTCGTCGTTTGGCTGACTGAATTTCTTTTCCCTTTTTAGTCTTATTTTATGTAAGACGGTAGGAGAAATTAAAGGCGCCTTTCTCATATGTTCTTGTGATGTAGTGATCAGAACATAAGGTGACAAAGTGTAATACTCAGGTTTGATACCCGGTGAGGCGACGGCTGTTTTTTCAAAAAGCCCTGAAAGGCATATTGACTGTATAACCTAACTCTTTGACGATTTTCTGTTTAAGAGAATATAGTAACTGCCGTAATAATTGAATCGCCTTATATTTTGCCTTAAAATTTTCATAAAATGTGCCTTAAATTTTAAATTTCTTTCACTTGGCTTCCCTCTTTTTCATTTTTCACAAATCGAAGCTACTGTGTTCTGAAAGTGCTAAAGACATGGGAAAAATACGAATAATATTGACAATTATTAGAATGGTAAAACATAAGTAAATAATAAAAATCCTTAAAATTTCTTAAGCTCGTTAACATGATTCTTGGTAGGAAGACTTGGTTTAAAGGAGATGCCTATAATCTTCTTTGCGTGTGCTTCGAGTGGGAGGCAATTTCTTTTAGAGACAATGATCAACTACTCGCAACCTTGTAAGCTTTGCCACTTCGTAAGGTGTTTGGGAACCTCATATCTAGTCTCTGAGATTTATTTCAATAATTAATACCTAAATTTGGAAATAGTTTTTTCTATAACTAGGATTTGGAATTTTCAGTACAAATAAGTAACCCGAATAATTATATTTGAAAATAAATAAGATGAACAACTAAGACCGACTATAAATCGGCATTTTATTCACCAGTAGCTGAGTGGGCCTCACCAGTGGTTGAATAGTTAAAACATTTGAATATTGGTAATTCGATCCGAGTTCGAACCTGGGAAAATGAGCTGGCTGCATGGGTGTTTATCGTGGTTTTCCCTGTGCGTAACATGAATATAAGCCACTTTCCCTAGAAAGTCATTCATGAAGGCATTCCTTTCTTTAGGCAAATAGATCTCGTGTCTTTGTAGTGTTCAAATAACCTCTTCTAGAGTAATATTCTTCGAAATTTGGTAAAATTAGAGCAGACAGAAAATTTGCCCTTTTTTTATTGCCCGGGATATAGTTAGGCTAAAGCATTGAAAAAATATATACTGCGTAACGCAAATATGACTTTTTGTTGGTCTTGAAAAAAATTCCTGTGTTTTGATTCTTGCTAGAAAAGTGAAGTGGAAGCTTATAAGTAATTTGTTAAGCTGAAAACTGGGAGATTTCCTTGCGAGATAAGCTTCCTTTTTTTTTTTTCTTTTAAAGTGAAAAATATTTGCTCGCTATTGTGTTTGTGCCAAATACAGAATTAGATGCTTTTCGGGGAGTTTATTATAGTACTAGCATATTTGGCAGTAACACAGAAATGAGTGAATTTTTAGCGTACTAGTAAGGAATTAGATGACAGCAATGATGGTCTGCTGTGATAAATCGGGATAACATTCCTTGACTTACTAAAATCTCTAAATCAGTAGAAAAGTCAAGAATCTGCGCCGTTTTCATATAATTGTTAGTTTTTCGATATATAAATTTATGTGCAAAAGCCCTGCATGTTAGCTCTTTTGTACAATTCAGCATATTTCAGTTTAGATTTTCTTCTAAAATTACAAATTACGACAAATTTAGTTGAAAAACTGATAATTCTTCAATTTACTTAATACAAAATAAGTGTTTTTAATGCTTTTCGCGAATATTAAGCGATCCTTATTGGTTTAAGAATAAAAATATTAATTATGTTTCTTAATTTTCCGTTCCTATTTGATTTTTATTCAGCGCATTACGATATTTAAGCTTAAAACTTAAGAAGTATTATCAGTTCTTTGCGATAATGTTGATTCTAGAAAACATGTATCAAATTTAAAAACCATCAATATTTTTGTATTACTTCTTTTAAAGAAACAATGAAAACGAAAACTGAAGCTTAGTCTATTATTGATAGCAAAAGTTAAGAGATGCATATCAACCTGAAAATATATTCAAAAACTGAGAGAATTACACCATACTGTTATGCTGTTTCGAAATAAACACATTAATTACCTTTTGAAAGGGACACTGACGCGGCATGTTGAAAAGCATTAAGCCTTACCACTTGAACATGCGTCAAATTAAATTTGATTTGTTAATAGCAGAGAAATGAACAGATAATTTTAAGCGATTGACTGTTAAATCTGTGAAAATCATCTAAGAATTAACTTTCGTATCAAAATAAATCTGAGTGAGCTTTTAAGCAAAACTCAAACTCCCTGCTAAAAATAATTTTATAATAAGCTTTTAGCTGATTTGACTGAAAACATATTTTCTTATCAGAAGTAAAATTATCTATGTTAAATTGACTGTATACTTCACTGTATATACTACAGTGTATTCCATATTATCAATAGAATTTTTAATTATTACGGCAAGAATTCCCAAATGCATAAAATTAATTGATGATTTTTGGTTTATATTTTGACATACAACAGATTTAGAGATACGTACTTACGCTCTATAGAAATACTGTTCTATAGAACGTAATACTTACTATATTATTGCGTTCACTTACTTTTATTATAAAAACCTAGTCCTTAATTTTAAATATTTTGCAATTATTGACAGATTTTTGGTTTTGAAAAAAAAAATATTTTAGAACTTACCTGAGGGCAACAAGTGAATATTTTTTATTGAAATTTTTCGTAAGTTGTATGAATCTAATATAATTTGAGTGTTATATTCTTGGGTAATTGCTCAGACTCGCCAATGTATTTATCCGCTATTCATTTAGATACACGTGAGCTATTTCGTATTTATTTGAAACCATCATTAATAGTCTTCTCCGGAAACGTACAATACACAAGTTTTCAAATTATATTATTCATAATAATAGTAAATCTTACCTTGAGTAAAACAAGCTGTTTGAAGGGGTCCCAGTAAAAGACTTCTTCCAAGAGCTGCTATAGCTATTGATGCAATAATGATATCAATGACTCGGCAGCGGTTACTTCTTTTATTTTTAATCTCTCGCTTACTTGCGGAGAAAATAACAAGAATAATCACGTTACCCATAGTGGATGCGATACACGCACTCACCACCAAAACAACGCGAAAAGGCAAAAAAATATCATTTGTGGATTTAAGTGATACAAATGTTGTGGAATTCATCATCAAACGTTTTATGGAAGATTTCCGACTTCTCACCTAAGGAAGATTAAAGCCCCAAAAATTAGAAGTGAAGTAAAATTCGCGGTCTAGGTCAGCTCGATCAGATCATTCATGACATTATCCTGGAAACTGCGACACCCGGCTGTATTTGATGATTCCTGAAAATATCCCGAAAATGCGACATCTAGCGGTTACCTTTGGGATTAAAATTTTAAGGAGCGGAAAATTGAAACTTTTAACAGTTTTGCTTATTTTTTATAAATATAGCAGTTTTTAAGTGTTATGTTCGACATTTTTAATGTTTTTATCATACAGACTTCTTATGAGAGCTGCTTGTTTTTATTGACTGCTACCCCTTTTTATCTAAATATGTGCAAAAACATTAAGTTTCTTAAAAACAAGAAGCACATTTTTAATGCAGTGCATAACGTTGGCAGTCCGGCTATCTCACGCTTAGCGTTATACTTTAATAAAAGGAATAATACACGTAAAACAGGCATCCTCAAGGTGATCGATACACAAGATCGATAAACCCTCAGAGACTAAGCAATGTTGGTAAATCTTGCTAACATGGTCAGAGGGAAGAGCAAATCAATTAATGACAACATATTCAGTTTAGAAATATTTTTTTGGAAGTAAGCTTTACAACGAGCATGGATCAGGGGTGTAATGAAATTCTATTTATCTACTTTTCTGTTTTTCACACACTGCTGTATTTATGTTTTCACTAATATTTATGTTTCACTAATATATTTCTTATAAATGTCAACCATATCAGTTGTGAAAGAACTGCGTTTGTCTCAAGGTTAAAGAAGAAAGCAGATACTATTTTCGATTATATAAATAAAAATTCTCTTCATTTATCTGTTAAGCATTATTTTATTTGTGGTATCAATAACATTTATAGTATTTATAGTATCAATATTTGTTTAAATAAATGATTTTGGTCGAAACTCTTACGTTACGGTTAAAAAAACTAGGATTCTTTTACGAGCCTTTATTTAGAATTAATTTGGTTGCAGTTCATAGTTCAAATGAGCTTTGGATTAGAATACGGATTTAAGACAAAAACTGAGGGGGATACTGAATTGCAAAATTTGCTATTTTTGATGACATTTTCAACTTGCTTTGAGAGAACAGTTAATAAGGTTAGAATAATTCGATGAAATAAGTTTAAATGAAATGCAGCAAAAAAATGCTTGTAAATTAAATATGCTGTACAAGGAAGTCATGTAGTGTCCACATCAGATTTTTAGTTTAATTAAAATATAATTTGTACTTTCTTTGAGTTTTAATTAAATAAGTGAATAGCTCTTACGAAAATATTCTTCTGAGTAATTTGAGAGAATATGCTTTAAACAGTGTATATGAATTTGAACAGAAAAATATGCTAATGGTTCAGATTGAAAATAAATAAACAGTGGTTTTATGACGTAATTAATGACATCTATTCCCGATAAACCGATCCATTTTCAGAAATCATTGATAATGCCATAAATTCATTGCTAATTTTTCACTTTCAATTTTCAGAGCTTTTTACCGCATGCTGCACATTTATCTTCTCAGCTATGTAGTATACAAACTACGTATTTATTGAGAATAGCGATAGAGATTACAGTGTTTACTCACATATCTTTCCAACATCGCTTACTTACCCTCCTAGTTTATTCAGCATATGATTTAAAAACTTATGATTTTTAGCAAGAGTATAAATAATATGCACAAATAAAGAAGTATTTTGTGTAAGTATAAAGAATATTACTGAAACTGGTTAAAGTCCTTTGAAATACATAGTATAATATTAGAAGGTTTTTACGTGTGCTTTTTGATGTGCTGCTTTTATCATTATTGAACAAATGCCAGGACATTGGTCATCAGGTCGTTGGCGACAATCTTTTTAACAATACAATCCAAATCGTTTAGTGAAGAACACTCGTCTAGACTCTAGATGAACAGCATTCATGTCTTGCCCGTAGTCACACAGAACACATTCAGGTGCATTAGTCAGTTTAAAATGAAACAAACAGTTCACTTAAGACAATTGTGTTCGGTCAAAAATCAAAAGTCGTTCACAGTAGCAGTACAGGGTGTATCCAGGACACTGTGATTACCACAAAACGCACACTAGGAGCGTGGGAAGGCACTCGACGAAACAATTGCTTGAAAATTCTCTTCATATCTAATTTAGCAGAGTGTAGCGGAAGGTCTCTATGAAACTTTTGAAGAATATCATTTCCCTTTTTTGCCAAAAGGTCTGCTATCTCGTTTCCACAGAGACCACAGTGTGACGGTACGCATTAGAAAGCAACTCCTTTCCTTAAATCCCTTTCAAGAACTCCTGCAACTGTGTACACGGGAAACCCAATTCTCCTGGCTACTCATAAAAGGACGGTCAGCACTAGAACTTGAAAGCATTATAAAAGCAAGAGGACAACGGTAATCGCCGATTTACCCTACCCATGGTGTGAACCACGAGGAGGCCTGCTGCTTTACACCCCTGCTACGTTTATTATTTATGCCGCCTGTTAAAAAATAATACACATGGAGTATTTTTCACCTCCGGGTTTCAAGTGTTAAAATTTATAGGAAAAAGGCAAAAATACGCAAGTAAATACGGTATTTGCGAGATTTAAGTAACTTGAAGCTTATATTAAAGAGTTGTTCATTATCGCGTGTTTTTCGATTATGAAGCGTTCTCATTTAAAGGAAAATAAACACACGTTCATAAAAAAAATATGATACATATGGCACCTGTGAAGCATTTTAAACGCTTATATAACTAGCAAAATCCAACCGTCGTTGGGTACTGAATTCAAACGAAAAGGCTCAGTGCACTTAGAAATATTGCCTTTCTTTTTCAGAAGCCATTTTTTTTCTGGAGCAATTAATTACAGCTCGCTTCTGAAGAAAAAAAAAACCATGACGTTGGTCCCACGAAGCGCATTGAACCTTTTCATTTGAAATGAAAGTTGAATTTTGACGATTACCAACGTTAAGTTGAAATGCAACTCTTGTATCTAATATCTTGTTTATTTAACCTTGACTGCGGCTTTCGTTCAAAGGCATAAGTTCAATTACATACACATGAAAGAAAGCTAAGGTACCGAGCTGATATAAAAAAAAAAAGGTTTGCCGAGTATTAAGAGCCTCCCACAATATATGTGTACTGTCGTCTGTATAACGACAATATATCCTGCAATCAGGCAATTAAAGCACACTTTTTGGACGTAAAGCATAGTAATTACTTCTTTTATCTCCCAGAGCTAAGGTGAATTAAGCCAAGCATTTCCAATGTCTATCCTTATCATCCTTATTTCGAAGAATATAGTCTTGGCCAGCAGGAGAAAGTGAACATCAGAAAATATAACTTCGGTTTTTCTTCTGATTTATGATGGATTTTAGCTGATTGCTGCACTTCCTTCAGCGATAACGAATTCCACCTCTTTAAGAATTTTTTTTTCTGGCATTGAGGGGAAAAAATCATTGCGTCTACCGTAGTAGTAGTAATTTTTATGATAAGCGCATTTTATTCAGCAAAACCATGTATTGATCCAAAAGACCAGCTGAGGTATTCGGTGCTGAAAAGAAACGAAATCGTGTTTGCCTCATTAGATGAGGATTAGTGCAAGAAGCTTTGCAAAATACTGTTCGGAAATTGAAGTTCCTCACACTGTATATACCTTTTCTCTGTTAGTGAAGAATGAAATTCTGTTTATATATATATATATGTATATAATATATATTATGATTTTAAAGGCGCAGTCGAGGTGGCATAGTGGGACGATGAACAAGACAAAAATGAAATAAACGAATTTCCAATCTTTATATCCACGCATATAAAATCATCTCAGTAGATATTTATTCAATCAGAATGATATCCGATACATTTCTATGATTCAATGATAAATAAATATGATAAATTTCTATGTACATTCGTTTTTTTAAAGGAAATGACGTAGTCAGTTTAGAAGCGAAGCGATGGGGATGTATTAACTGTGCCGAAGCTAGTAAACGAATGACTTAGTTTTTTGTGCCAAGAGTATTTATACCAAAGTAGAGCTAATCTGTGATTGGTTAATTTGTGGTTGTTAAACAGAAGATTCTCGAACTTGGGAGAACGGATGAATTTAGGTGAAGATCACCATATCAAGAATGTTAATTTTGAGGTTGCCAATTATTTTTAAAGCAGCTATCGTATTTTCTTATACCTTGTTGGCTTGTGAAATTATATAAACTAACAAAATTTATCCACCACTACTGGTGGAGAAGTAAATTAAACTAAATATAAACTTGAGTAAACAGGAAAATTAACAACCCTTAGCTATATCTTACCAACTTTCTTCTAAATAAATTTTATCCATTTCATTATCAAACAAAACTGTTGTTCGACAAATATGTAAACAACACAGTTTCTCAACAGGCTAGAAAAGCGACCGGCAGTGTTCTTTCATATGCGCTAATTCTATTCACAAGACACACACCTTAATCTCTAAATTGCGTATTCTGTAGCAATTGCCAATGCAAGATAAATAAATACCTACATGTCCATTTAAACTCCTCCAAATTTATATTCTAGGGAAATCTCACGAGAAAACAGAAAAAAATAACTGATTACTTTAAATGAGACTTTATAGGTTTAACGTTTTCAGCCGCCTCTAGAAATTTAGGCATAACAAATGAAGGCAGGCTTTAATTGCACAAAGGCACCACAGGTTAAATTTACGGCAATGGTAATGTATTCTTTTCAGTGACGAGTCAAATTTAATATCTGCTTCAAAACTCATTTATCTCAACCAGCGATAGAGAATATAACAGCTATGGCGGTGTAAATGTGATAAGGAGGATTAAAAATCAATAGACTCACTATCCTTCAAATTTTAATGGTGATTGAAAGAGAAGTTACCTAATAAATTTAGTTATAACATTTTCCAGCCAAGTTTTGCCTAACATTTAAATATATGTAACTAAACTTCATTTCTTTTCAGAACACGCGCCTTTCGATTTGTTATTAGATTTCATGAGAGGTAGATGAGTTTATTTTGCCTTAGCTCTACGCGAAGACGGCCAGCTAGCTTTTCACACTTTTCCACCGCCGCTATAAGCTTGTTATTAACTAATACTAATGGATGGCAAGAAATTTTAATTTTCTTAT